GAGTATGATGAGCAGTTCATGCGTTGATATGACTACATTTTTCAACTCGGATTGGGTGACATTGGTGCACCCAGGTTTAGGAACTTCCTGCTATACTCCTGGTACGCCGCGGGTTACTTGAGCACTCATCCAGGTACTTTTGAGACGCCAGCAGAATTTTGTTTTCCATCCCAAGTAGTTAGCGTCTGTGACATTACGGGATGCGACAAGATCTTTTTTATTCGTTGTTCTCATTGTGAGCAACTTCTCTGTTTTGATCACTTTGTGGGTATCATATTTGCTCATGAGGTAAAGGAGTCATTTTTTTGCATAGCATTATCGTGTATGAATTAAAGAATGTAATTCCCATAAGATGTAGATCACACTGGTCACCTAATGAGTTGAAAAATGTAGTCATATCAACGCTTGAACTGCTTATCATACTCGAAAGACTTCCTCCACAGAATGCAAAACAAACCACAGTCTCGGGATCCGAACCTTCATCGTGTGCCCGTGAAGCTAGACTCTTACCTCTGTGCCATGCCGCCGTTGGATGAGCCGCTGCTTCCCGGTTACTCATGCCCGCTGGCTGGCAACTGCCACCGACCCCGTGCCGCTTCAGCCAAACGACCCGTCATAACTCCGTTCAGAGAATCGCTTTGCAAATTTGGAATGCAGATTTGAGATCAGCGTCCGAAAATACGTCTAGTGGTCTAGGTCTCATTACAAACGGCCACTTCGACCTGACGACCATCCCTAGTTGCACTCACCGGAATATTTGTAAAATCCATTGAAATCATGATTGTGCAGAATTAAAAATCCTTGTGAGTAAAGCTCTGCAGCTCTTCTATCCTCTGGAGGCACCCTGGCCTCTCCCACGCCACATTGAGGCTGCGGATAGGATTTGTGGGAGTGAATTCAAAATGAAAATAGTATATATAGTTCTGAAACAGATTTGCTCATTCACTGGATACATTTTTTCTCGTGCAAGACATTTGATCATCTTCTTGGGGCAGATTCTCTGGAAATGGGAAGACAACAAGTATATGCCTGCAACTTTGAGTGAGCTGTCTGTTGGGCTGCTTGGTTCAGAATCCAAGGCTCTTTTCAATCAGTCCGACCGAGAGCTACATAAGTGAATCTATCGAAGATGTCTGCTTTCGAGGGTGGAGCCTTCAGACAGGGCACGCCAGCGCGTTGTGATCATTTTCCGCTGAATACGATCCCCCTTCCAAATAAGGGTCTTAATACGACCCCCCCCATGTGCATTGCAAACTTGTTATAAAGCTTGTTATAAAGCAAAGATTCTTATAAAATAAAGAGGAAAATAAGCACTAGACCACAGAGAGATAAAGCAACTTATGTTTCGGATTCTCGTTTCCTACGACGACTGATATTTACTTCAGGACCTATGGCATCAGCCATATTGCCCCTTATAGGCAAACCCTGAAATTTGTACTGTTAACGAATGCAAACGAAAAACTAACAAGACAAAACGGAACAAAAAGAAAATGGCGATGAGCGTAGCTTAACACTAAGCACGATGAACACTTAAATATTAGTTAATCGCGGCCATTCAATTGAGCACGCTAATACAAACGGTATTGAAGCGCGCTATTTTACGACCCGGAGCCAGTTTCAAGCCAAACACTCGAAAAGTACCCCTCACTTGAACACCCATAACTTCTTTGAGAGTAGAGCTTTTGGAGAGGGAAAGCAGGAATGTGGAGCACTAGGTTGGCACTTGTTACCTGAGTTTGAGCGATTTCAAAAAAAAATTTTCAAGAAATTTTCTCCGTTGTGATCCGGTCGTGATCATCGGGGTCATTTACAAGTCCTTACGCTTTGAACAGCCATAAGCAAGCTTCATACAGGGCCATTCGTAAAAGAGGAAACAGTGCCGGAATTTCGAAGCTTTCCACTTTCCACCAGAACTTTTATTTTATCTAGGCCTGCTATTCGAAAAAGTCCCCCGTTGTGATCACAACGTGTCGTCCCTGCCGGACCACACGAAAAACTCACCCCTCAGACACCACACCACTTCCAGTTCGTTGAAGACTTCGGTATGCTTCTAAAACGCATGTTTTCGCCAAGGATATCAGGAAATAGTTCATTGGGCGCCAATTGGCATCACCTCTGCAATGCGCCATGCATAGGGCTTTCACGCAGAGGTGTTGGGAAGGTGCAACTTCTAGATAGGGCTTCCTAAGTGCAAGCACATGTGCTCCTACGATCAGAAAGGTCCGGAGGTGTACCTTCATCTTTTTAATAATTGTGGGTGATCATCGTATTCCTTGTCATCGCCCATTCCCCCCCCCCGTTCCCCACTTCTGCGCTGGCACGTTGTTTCTGTCTTGTCTTCAGGGGTTCTTCACATGGATAAGTCTTTCATCATTGAAGCTGAACGACATCTGGGTATCGCTGCACCCTCACTTCAGAAAGGCCCTGCGCTTACGACCCCCCCCCCTCGCGGGCAAATACGACCCCCTGTTGTGATGATCACAACGATGGCGTGACCTTCCTTCAGAACCATTAAGCAACCAGGAACTGCTCTCTGCCTTAACACACATTTCTGACTGGCGAAATTGGCACACTTCTGTGATGTGAACTTGCTTACGATAGATGGAAAGGATTTCACCTCACATGTGAGTGTGCGTGTTTTCTAGAAGAGAAATTGTTTCAGTTCTCTATTTGGTCCGTCTCTCGCGAACGGGTAGCCTCCTCAGCCAAAGTAAGCCACGATGGACATATGCTTCTCTACTTTTCTGCTCACGATTGTCTCATAAAGAAATATGGAATCATGCACTTGGTGAGTAAACAGAAGAGGCTGAAGTCACCCTAAGCGAAAGAAATATGCATAATTAAACGACGACTTTCAGGGGATGCAAAATGGGATAGTGTTCCAAATAGATAAGGATAAACCGATCGACAATGTTTCCACAGGAAGGGGTAACGTGATTACATATGCCACGCCTGCAAGTCGAGAAACGCTGCCTACGTTACCAGTGGTAATTTCTAAATTCTACGAAAGCAAATAGGAAGCCACGCTCGGATATTTGCGCGGTGATTTTGCGTAAAAACCAGGCCCTGTCCGACCAGTGGAATAATCCATTAGAAAGTGGTATGTGTGCACCCTAAAGACCGGCAGATTCCGCCATTCGATAAGTCTTGCGATACGGTTTTTGCGCGTAGAACGTCAAGTAAGGCGTTGCAAGTTAAAAGCAATGGTTACTTTCAGAGAGGTTGATTTGTTAAAGACTCTGGAGTACTTCTAGAAGAAGATCTCTAGAAGATGTGACAATAAAAAGAAATTGTAAACAGTGGGTAGTCGCGGAAATTATGAGCCATTAGATAACAGAACATAGAGCAAACAACAATAAGGGAATTCTCTACTCAATTAGAAGCTCTCTTGGGCGTTCATACATTACGGCGCCTACCAGCGTCTACCGGAGTCCACCAGCGTTCACTACCGTTCATCAGCTTCCGGGATCAGAGAGTATGGGGAAGTAGAAGAGTAGAAAACAGCTGGCGTTGTGGAATTGCGGCGTGTGCAACCGCACCGCACAGTTGCTAAAGCACAGGAAGATGCAATTTGATGTACGGTTTAGTGTCGCTGTGTTGTGCCGTCATCCAACCTTTGCTTTTTTCATGGTCACATCTTCTAGAGGTGTCCTTTCCGAACCAAGTTTCCTCAAAATAGCAAATGATCTAAACTTCGGATCAAGGGCAGACTTCGCGATGAGCCGGCGAAAAAAAAACCGTAGGGTAGTTGCAAAACAGACTTGTATGTGCTAACTGACTCGCTCGTAAAGAAGAAAGAAAAGGAAACCGTCTAGAAGGCTTCAACTAAGGTCAGACTCGTGCCACGCGAATGACAAACAATGTGAACAGCGGTTGAGAGGCTAGAGAAGGCAGCGAGAGAGTATGCAAAAGAAAGAGAGCGTCAATAAGACATCTACAAATTTGGGCGGAGTTAATGACGCCTTACCGCTACCTTGCTATTTTCTGACGTGAAACTTATACACGGTTGCTCACTGCAGCTCACACTACTTGTCCTGCCGAAGAGCTTAGCTACTGATACTGATGAGTGATCGTGGGCGCTGCCCTCCCCCCCCCGTTTGTTCAAACCTTTTGATCTGATCGGCAGAGTAAAGTTGGTTTTGAAGACTAGCCATCTAACATCTCACCTCATCAATCTTATATTTACTTTTTTATCTATCACGGACATTATGTTCAGGAAGACAAAACAGCCAACTCATCGGCTGTGGCTCCTCAAACTACAACCCATGCGAACCAAATTGGTGACATCGGAGGCTTAAGTAAGTTTAAGGCGCGCTTACCATGTTTTTCTCATAACGGCATTGATGTGCAGTGCAATGGAGAGCAAATTTATTACGTATCACGAAGAGGGTACGGTTTCTGTTCCCTTGACAGTGGCATGGTCGCCGTATTTTAGCTTATTCAGGCAGTGTTAAGACTTTTCGTTGATCGCGCATGCTTCCGTCGTCGTCGAAAGCGTGACGATCGACCGCGTCGAACGTGCCATCGCGGAGTCTGAGCGCTGTTTTGCTTGAAACCGACACACAAAATGAGTTATTCTTGTGAGCGCACAGTATCGCGGGAGTGTACCGCGGGAGATGGACAAAGCAACCGTAGTCTGTTGTGTCCTCACGCGCGGCGTATCTTGCGGCAGTGCGCCGCCTCGAGGTGTATCAGCTTGTCGATTGGGAGCGAAAATATGGATCAAAGCAAAGAAAAGACTCCATCATGGGCGGAAATTGAGTTTTCCCTCTTCCTTTGACACTCACATTCCATCGGCCTTGCAAGACAACTTGCCTGTCAGGCACCACGCGCTTGACACACCCACCAGCGTGCGTGTTATCATTGTCCTGTCACATTAGAAACAAAGAAAAACAAATATTGGGGAAAGGAATACACTCAACATCACAGATGATCCGTTTCGCCCGTTATCGTAGACGAATCATCGATGTCTTACCAACCCCCGGGCTCCTCAGTACGATAGAGTTGAGACATGGACATGGACTACATAGGGGAAGGAGTTAAGAAAAAGGATAAAGCGAGAAAAAATGCAAAAAAGTTGACATGCAAAATCCATGCAATAAAGATGAGAAGGAACTGTGCAAGGTAAATGAAAGAAGGATATAACCGGTGTGAGTACAAGATTGGTGTAAGAGGAAGAAAAATGGATTGTTGTAGATGGGCTAAACAAACTAAGGTAATAATGAGTAAAAGACACTGTCGCAGCGGATTACAAAAGGTTAAATCAAAAATTTAGTGGTAAAATGAGAGCTAGTGTTGAACACCGCTGCCAGTGAGAATACAACATACCCTTATATAGCTGGGTGTGCAACATGTTCGTAGTCGCAACCTACAACTATGAATTGACTTGAGAGATAGAGTCGACGCGCAGTGCGGCTGCTATCACAATACTGTAGCGTTGCGCATCGACTTCACCTCTTATGTCAACTCCTGCTGCAATTGGAAAGTAGCCTTCCATACCCATATATACCATTTTTATTTTAGATTCACCTTTTTCAATTCAAACCCACCACTTTGCCAAGAAATTGCACCACTTTTGGGATAAAAATCGCCACCTTCCAAACCTACAACACCACCTTTCAAACCCAAAGCACCACTTCCCAAATCAACTTCACCTTTTTTTAGACAAGGCAATTCATCAGTCGGGTCACGCTGTACACCGCCGCGATTAGCGCCTTCCACGACCCCTTTGACAATTTTGAATGCTGCAGGAAGCTCCGCCCACAATGAAAAGCTCCGCCCATTCCGTACAAGCCCCGCGCACTTTTGGAAATGATGTGAAGTTGGCAGTTTAGAGTCTACACTGCTGCATCTCAGAGTCTCGCTCGTCAGTCGAGACAAACTTTGCCTGGTTCTCGGTTCCAAGTGACGAGCGAGGCCCTAACATGCCAGTTTAGGCTAAAAATGCCGGTCCGCATCATTTTACAAAAGTGGACGATTCTCCGCAGTAGGCGGGGCTTCCTGTAGCAGTTCAAACCCGCGAAATTTTGAAGAAAGATCAGAATTTCGCAAAAATGTGCAAAGTAAGTGTGATCAGTCGATGTGCAGTCATTTTCAGTCAGTTTGTTTGTGCGAGACAGCAAAAGTAAAAAACCGCCTTAGAAGCAGAATCTATGCAGCCCAATTTGAAAATTTATTACTGCGCTGACATGTAGGCTTAAGCGTCGAGGATTGCGATGAGGCTCGGAGCGATCTGGTCGACCAATTGCCCCCAATTGTCTACAAATTGTGGTGAATTTGATTTGCAAAATGGTGGTTTCGAATTCAAAAGTGGTGGTTTTGATTGGAGAAGTGTGAGTTCGCTTTAAGTGGAGAATCTTAAGAGAGTAGAGTATCTAAGTATTCCCAGACTATTCGACACAACTACGACATCGCTTCGGTCGCGCGTTCGGCGCGATCGATGCAGTGCGAAGCATGCGCGTCGCGATCGCGTCGAATGCGCGACCGAAGCGCTGCTGTCACGAAGTCTGAACGCTGCCAAACGATACATCCCAATATAGTGCATTCCACAATGATCCTTTGAAACCTTCCACTAAAGATGGAAATCACTGATAGGATATTTACCACTAGAAATCCCTTCACTCACTCAGTCACTTTCCGATGTGCATATCAAATACGAAAGTGGCAAGGAATGCAGAAAAAACCTAATTTGATTTCAGATTCCGGGAAGGCATTGAATAGAGCACGGAGGGGTTGGCTCATCTGGATGATCTTCTATGGATTTTTCACTGGATCTCTCATAGCGCTTATCATCGCCGGGCTCATTTTGTACTTTGCCCGACGTTCTGTGTATGCTTGCTGGTAAGCACTCATGGCATTCTCACAATTCCGAAAGTAGTGGGTTTATGTTCAGGTGGAAGTACACAATAATCAACAAAGAATGTCTTTATCCTTTCGAATTTCCATCCCATCGTTAATCCCACGCTGTCGTAGGGTACCTGATCTTTTTCGACGCTACCGATCTCTCCCGTTCAAGAAAACTTCCGCAGTTTCCTTACTTTGGCAAGTCCCGCGTTCATTGAATGCGCAGACGCCTTTTTTAAACAAGGTAGTCCGTGGAGGGAGAATAAACCCACATATCATTTATTACGTGCCTACAAATGGTGTTTCTGGCCTCTGCACATTTATGCGTGGCTTCCGTTTGTTGTTCAGTATGATAGCAGCCTACAGAAACCATCCATTGTTTCTCTGCAATTACTGCTTTAGGTATCGTGGTATGTACAAGCGGTATGGATGCGACGCGTCCGGTGTATCTGGCGGAGTCACAGGTAGTCAGTTCGGAACCACAGCAACTGGAGGTGTGTGTTTAGGGTTTTAAGTTTGCTAATTTGTCCTGCTGTTGTAATGGAACTGACTCTAGCATCAACGATGGGTGGTACAACTGGATCAACAATGGGTACGACTGGTACCACCGGCACGACCGGAGGAACAACTGGTTCAACGATGGGCACGACGGGAGGAGGCACAACGGGTACGACCGGCGGTGGTACAACCGGCGATGGTACTACGGGTGGTACATCAGGAACTTCTGGTGGAGATATGGTTACTATGTAAATTAATGGTTTCAATAAATCTTTGTTCATTGATCGAAGTATTTTCTGAAGTTCACATCACAGCTAGGGATTCAGAACTGTAAGTTACAATTCAGTAACGGATTCGTCTGCAAACACAATACTAACTCATACGTTTT